TGATCATAGTTTTTCCCTGTAGAGAATATTGAAAATTCTATTCATCATTTTTGACTTTTCCATAATAATTATAAAGAACGTGGTATCTTTTTTTGAATTTTGTTGACAAATAATATAGAGAGTTCGATGTTTGATTCGTAGGTTTTTCCATACGTGGTACATAAAATCCTTTTTTATCTGCCTGCATAAAAAATTATATGTTGAACTTTTATATAAACAAAATTCATGAAATGCTATTATTGACTTTGGACGTTTTATATAAATATAATTGGAAAAATCCTATTTTTTCACAAAATAAAATATTTTTCTCATTATAACCTTTCGATGATTTCTTTTCATGATAAATTGAGATTGATGGTTTTTCTATTGCCATATTATATTTTTTTTGGATTCGACGTAGAACAGTTTTTGCGAGCATGTTTCGGCTTACAGCTTTGTTCGTTTGAAAATTAATTCTTTTGTTTATTATAAGACTCGAATTAGGTTTATTTTTAATTAATACAAAAAGAATCACCATCTCTAATATATATTTCTGAGTAAATCAGTTCAAATCTTTGCGAAACAGTTACATATAGCTGTATAAGATAGTAGTCACGGCACGTATGGGAAACTCACGATAAATATTAATGTAACAAATCTGAGAAAGAAATTCCTTCTAAGTTTTTCTGTATGATTTTGTAGGAGAATATCCGATATTCATCCAAGATTGGGTGGAAACACAATCTGAATCTCATCTTAACATCTTATTACTTGACCTGTGTATTAATCATTGAGTCAAGCCTTCAAAACCATGCACAAAACAGACACAGATTCCTACATGAATTTTACATGATTATTTCATTAGTAGAGAAATGATTTTCTTAAGGTAGGTCCACCTGAAAATGTAATAATATGTCTATACCCAGTAATTCAGTCTATGGTCAAGCGAATCGACTCTTGAATGGCGTTACTTGTTTTATTTCACTTTAATATTCAAGCTCATTTATTCAAATAATCTAAAATCAATTTTTGAAAATTATTTAAACTGCAGTAGTTTAAACACTACTTACTATGAAAAGAATATGTTTATTTTGATGACAGAAAAAAAAACTCTGTATTTCATGATGAAAAATTTTCTTGAATTCAGGAAAAGTTTTATAAAATTGAGACACAAGCTCGAATTATCAAAGAAAAAAAATCATCGCTTCTATTAAATGGTACTTTGATATTATTTCCAGCAGAAAAACAGTACAACTAAAAGTTTTCAAAGTGATAACAAATTGAATTGAGAAATGATTTTGAAGTCATTAATATCAGTTGTCGAGCTGACACAGTGATCAGTTCGTATTCTATGCAGGTTCGTCGTTATTCATCAAGACAATTTTAGCTGTTAGATATGTCGTCTAGAAACACTATCGGATCATTCTTTAGCGCCTTCGAATTATTCTCAATGACAAGCATCACTTTAAATACTCATTGTTCAGATGTACGGCAATAAAGATTAACTCATAAACAATAGTGTCACTGAGAAAACAGTGCATTACTAGCATACAAATCTTCATGTGGAAGTAAAATTAAATCTCAATAATCTCCAGTTGTTTAACTTGATGTTGTTTCAGATTAAAATGGGTTTTGCTAATAATTTATAATGTTGCTTTGATTGGAGAAAATTTCGAATAGGTCTATTTTTCTGATAGTGTACTAGCGCTTATCACATTTTTTTAAATGTTAAAATGAACGATATATATATAATACCGACATGTCGGGAACTGTTTGACCAGAGAGGAGTTACTACGTACACAATACTCAATGGTTATGCCCAGTGTAACGAAGGAGAGAAGATAGGCGAACGTGGATGGAGGTATGGGATGTGAGGATGTGTGCCGGTGAAGAGAAGACACAAACAGTAAAACCTACATCCACCCACACCCACACCCTACTATGCGTTGGAGCCAGAATTTTGTGCTCTTCCCGAATATGAGCTCAGCTAATTTAAGTCTGTTTATGCTCGAAAGTTGTAAGGAAATCTTTCTAAGGTTTAAACAAAAATAGTTTGGATGAACTAGGTAACTAAAGTTTTTAGAGAATATTTTGTTTATTCCTAGCCTTCTTAAAAGTAGTTCAAACGAGTGAAATATTGTAGTTTAGAAACGAAATTTTCTGCTCTTTACAAAGATGACCTCAGACATAGTTTGCCTAACTTTTTGTTTTTTCGAGAGCAGTGTGAGAATCTTTCAAAGCGCTGAAAAATTGATTGACATGGGGAATAAATCTATTGTTACTAATCCTATAAGTCCTTTAACATAGGTGCTTAAAACTATTGAACTTCATATTTTTGTAAAGCAAAGCTTTATTTACAAAAGGTGACATCGAACTTCAATATTGTTTCCACTCAAGTGAAGTTTATGAGTATTTTCTCAGAAACTACACTTTGTCTCAAATACCTTTCCGTCAAAATATCGAATTTTCAAAAATGAGGATGATAAGAAAACAACAGTTTAGACACTTTATCGGAATGCAGAAAAGTATCTGAAATAGTGCATTCTATAGAGAAGATTTTGATCTACAGGCTAATATATGAATAAAAGTTCAAACATGTAGTTCCAGATACCAATCGTGAAAATAAGGTAATGTATGAATCAGTTATCCGCCCAACATAATTTTTCAGACTTTTCAAAAATTTTTTCATGACTATCGAGTAGAAATAAATAGAAAATTTCTGAGCTCATATTCGAAAACAACACTATGTTCTTGTTCTAATCCAAAGAGTTTCATCAATCTAGGGTGCGATTGCGGGTATGTGTGTTAATTTTCTCTTCATTCATCCACATCCTGTCAGGCGTAGTTTAGAAATCCCTGTCAATCTGCATGATTTCAAATAAGATTTTCCTCTCTTGCTCAATGCTTTAAGTTCTCATTATAGGACAACCAACTGATTGATCTACAGCGGTAACAAGCTGGATTCTTCTCTTTTCATCGGAGAGAAAAACCAAAAGAAGCAAACGATAACAACGAACAGTTATATCTACCCCTAGCACCTTGTTATCGTCCCGTTATCAAGAAAAAAAAACACATGACAATGTTATCAATTCTATTATCTTTGTAGATTTCAAGACTGTTTATTGCCAAAATATTGTGAGAAATAAATTTTTATAACTAAGAAACAAAGTTTGTTATCTGAGCGTCCATTTGTTGTCTTGTTCTCTTCAGATTGGTTATGCGAGTTAAAATTGTTTTCTATAGAATAATTTAGTATTGTCGAAACAGTTGAGCATAGGAAAACAAAGCCGTCTTGCAAATATTCAACATGAAGATTTATCTAAGACAATCGATTTGAATTTATGATAAGAATAAACTACATTTTGTATTGCAATCCAAAATCAATTGACAGATAATTATTTGTTTGGATTTGCTACAATGTGAATCTATAATCTCGTAATTCATTACTTCCAAAAAATATGGCAGCCACATTTTCGACATTCGCTTTCTCGGATATTTTGTTTTGCTCGTCGCTCTGATTCGTTTTTATTGGTCGAGAACAGCTCGAAAGGGTTCATTTTTCAATGGATTTATACTTAGAAACTAAATTTATGACATTTTTTAATCGAATAAAACTTCATACAATGGTCAGAAATGTTCAAATGAAGTTGAAATATTTTAGTAAGCGAACGATAATTGTCGATCATTGTTCATATACAATGAAAGATTTAAGGTTTTTTTTTTTCTATCAGAAGTACTTGAAAATATTGTAATCAGTGTTTGTATGTTTTTAAAACAAAGCGTAAAATGGACAGAAGAATTTTTCAAGAGCAAACAATGCGCAATAAAGAGAATGTACCTTTTCAGATAGATGGACAAAATAATTAAAATTCACTTGACTAATAGGACTTTGACTTTGATCGATAAAATATCGTCGGTCTGTTTTCTACTTTGCATGACTTTTTTTTTCGAGACAGACAAACTCGAATTTCATTAGAAACTATTTTCAATTGTTAGCATTCTTCAATATCATAACCATTCAACTACGTAGTGTGTCATTTGATTGTCGATGTAAATTTTTTCCAACAAAAAAAATGAATTTCTCAGTAGAATGCTTAAAATAATGTTTCATCATTTAATTTTAGAACTAATTAAAAAGAAAACAGGGTGTGAGTGTGAGGGTGTGGTATGTTTGAGGTATGAGTCGTGGATGTGGAGCATGAGTATGGACGTGAGTTTGTGTCTATAGTTCTTATACACCAACACTCACACCCATCTACGCTCACATCCATACCCACTGAAATTAAATACCTCTATTTATTGTTTTATATCTAATTATTTCGAGTTTGCTTCGCATGATATTAATCTTGAATTCTTTTGTAGTCAAAGGAATAAGCGAGAAATAAGTAATATTGCAACGTTTTCGTTACATTCATATCAAATCTATGGTTATTCCTGGTAATTTATAGTCGAAATAAAACATGGTTATATGAAAAAAACAACATATTTTGATTAATTTGAATAAAAAACCGATATTTTTGATAAATTTGATTGAAGATTGAGTTTTTTTTTAATTTTTGATTAAAACTGATAAAATCTATAAAAAAAAAACAGTTTTTTTCCCTTTGAAAAGACGCTATTGACTTTCACTTTCTCAGTCAGTCGGGCTTGAACAAGATGAGAATATCGTTTTTTCTTTATTTGATTACTTCTGATATTGATTGAAGATTTTGATTTTGATCGATGCAATATGAGAACAGCAGTTTTTTTGCTTTTTGAAAGATGTTCATGTATGATGGACTGATTTTTCTAAAATTGTGTATTGACGAAAAAAGAAATTGCATTTCTGCACGAAGCAATCTAAGGCATATTGCATGAAATTAATCTCGTCATTCGCTCTCTCAAAACACATGTGTAACTGGAAAGAATGTCGCATTGTAATGCGGCAAGAAAGAACGAGCAAAACTAGTCATTATCATGACAAGGTTTTTTTCTTTCTTTATAACAAAATGTGCAGATATTCGTGTATTTTCATATGAAACATGTCATCAACAATGAAGCTGCAACGTGTTATTCTGGTTATTGGTGCAAATAAAGGCATTGGTTTTGAAGTCATCAAGAAACTTGTTCAGCAGCCATCGTCGACTAGCAACGATCTTATTCTTCTTGGTAGTCGTGATTTGAAACGTGGGAAAGATGCACTTTCACAGTTGGGTTCTCCAACAAACGTATACCTTCTTCAGTTAGATACATCGTCAAAAGAGAGCATCTCTTATGCCACCAATGAAATTAGACAAAAGTACGGGGGTCAATTGGACGTAATTATCAACAATGCGGCTATTATACCAAAAGATGATTCTGTTGAGGCTGCTCGAGAAACACTGGCTACCAA